CAGGATAGAGCAGGGTTTAGGGCTGTTGTACATAGGGTCGCTATGAGTTGCCAACGACTCAATGGCACATAACAACAACAACATATTGTGCTTACACCACAGATTTATTATTATTATTTTTAATTGATATTTTAATGAAGTTTACAGAAAACTTGGCTTTCCATCCATTCATTGTTTCTCATTTTCCTCCCCTCCCCAGTTCACTTTTCTCTTTAAAAAGAGTCTTTCATTGTTGCACAATTTCCTCCCTTCCCGCTGCTCCCTAATCTACTTTGTCAGGCGCCTCTTATTCTGGACAGTTGTCATGCAAATAAATTTGCCCAATCATATATTTCTTTCAAACAGTTCTTTCCCTCTTCTGTTCCCATGCAGTATTCATTATCTAACCCTTCTTTTCTTAGTCTAATGTTACACCACAGATTTTTAATCAGAGGCTCTATTAGCAAATTCACTGCTTTCTTTAAGACTCAGCTCTATCAGTATGCATGCCTTTATTGACTCTGGCTTGTGTGTAGGTTCATCTCTTTGCAGTGCATGCACCTCACTGCCTTTCTGTGCTATTACAGCACATTGTTGTTATTGAATAATGTTGAGTTGAAACTGACTCATAGCTGACCCTCCAGTGGATTTTCAGAGATAGTTAATCCCACTGGAGGAGATTGTCCATCCTTCTCCCATGGTGCAGCTGTTGTATTCAAATATCACTAGAATTTCAAAATGCCTTTATCTGTACCATTATCCACAATTGATCATAAAGTTGTGTAGTTCAAGCTTCATATTTTGTACATCTCTTAACATAGTTTTGGCCCTCAGTCTTAGCTTACTTGTGTGACATTGGCAGGCCTTGTTTCCTCTTTCATGCCAAATTATCACCCAGACCGTGTACCATATTTATTTTGCCATTTATTTCTTCTCACCTTTTGAACAACCTTGTTAGTTGTCTATTGAGTTGGAATAATGATGACCCTCCAGCAGCTTTTCAGAAGGAATAAATCACATAGGAGGAGATTGTCCACCTCCCTTTTGCAGAGCAGCTGGTGGATGCAAACTCTCTGCCTTTGGAATGGCAATATAGCTTTTTTTTTTGAGGCGCCAGCAACTTTATTGGTTCGGGTCTGGCCCTCCTCAGCCATGGAGGTCAGCGCCCATTGCGGGTGCTGCGCAGCTCTCCCATCATGTTGGCCGGCATGCGGTTGCAGAGTGTGGCGTAAAGATTGAGCAGCACCAGTTGGCGCCGCGCGAAAGGGCTGCCAAGCTGCGCGGGCCCGCTTGAAGTCCCTGTGGGCGTCGTCGTCTCGGCCCTGCTGCCGTGCCAGGAGCCCCGGCTGCACGAATCCCTGGCGAGCAGCAGCGGCCTCCTCCGTTGCTCAGCTCCAGCACGCGCTCCAGGCAATATAGCTTCTTTTTTTTTTTTATTAGTAATTTAGTTTATTTTTCATTTCAATGAAAATCTACAGAGATTTTGGAATTACAGTCATTCATTGTTGCACCCTTCTCCCCGCCCCCCCCTTTGCTCCTCTCCTT